AAAAAAAAAAAAAAAAGAGAGGGAGAGAGAAAGAGAGAAAGAGAGAGAGAGAGAGAGAGAGAGAGAGAGAGAGAGAGAGAGAGAGAGAGAGAGAGAGAGAGAGAGAGAGAGAGAGAGAGAGAGAGAGAGAGAGAGAGAGAGAGAGAGAGAGAGAGAGAGAGAGAGAGAGAGAGAGAGTTGCCTATGAAGGGAAGAGAATAACCGAAGACGAGTTTCCAATATTTTGCTAAAGAAAAAGTATGAGCCTGATAAGATCGCGACCAAGAAGAAATGTGTAATTTCTACATCTAAATGATTAAATAACACCAGAAAGGATCTTATCTCTTTATCAAGGAAGGAATGCTTCAAAAGCTTAAGGCAATAACCTACAAGAATTTTCTGTGTTGAAGTATTACCTAAAATGGACTTGCACCATCAGTTATAGATAATATTTCTCCGAAAACTAGACCAACAAGAATATGATTTTCATTCTCTACATTTAAAGATACACTAATCATTATCTGCATCAAAATACATTTACACAGTCCGAGTCCTATTTTTTTTACTGAAATTGATTTCACTGCACAAGAATTTTCGTAAGAACCATGAACATGAGGAAGAGTTACAATTGATTGCAAAAATGCGGAAGTCAGTTAGTATATAAGAAAGGCTATTATTTAAATGAACTCGATCAACAAACGAGACGACTCTCACCTGATCATTAAAAGCAACAGCATTCTGACCTTTGAGCAAAAACTCGCGTAGCTTATTCACATTTTTCAACACGTCATTGTCATTGACAAGTGATTGACTGGCTGGAAGCTCTGACAGTTTGACAATAGATCCCTTGTGATGCTACAGTGTCAGAAAAGAGAAAAAGATTAAACAAGGACTATAGAGGCATATACTATTAGAAGACTGTAAACTATTATCATGGCATGGCATTCAATGAGGTGATCAGTTACAGGCCATTCAGCAAAGACCAAAATATTAAACAAGGACTATAGAAGCATATACGATCAGAAGACTGTAAAATATTATCACGATTCACGGTATGACGCTGAATAAGGTCATCAGTTACAGGCAATATCCATATGCACAATATCAAACTCACTCCAGCAAGAATGAGTAGTTTTCTCGTACTATTTTCAGCTATGAGTAGATCCAATAAATACAAAGGCCCAAATCGGTATATCCATTCATAACGGCTGTACAGTTTCATACATGGGCTTAAACTAATAAAAAAAAAATTTACTCTAAACCCTCAGAATGTCAACGATTTAGTCTCTAACTGTGGTATCTTTGTCCTTGAAGCAACAGTAATAGTAGATTACATTTTTTTCATCAGTGCCCAGTGGCGGGTCTAACTTGGTGCAAGTGTGCCTTTGCACACCCTTGAATTTTGAAGTTTTTTATACACGTGTGTTTGAATATTGAAATTTTAGGGGGTAAATATAAAGTTCTATTAAAAACTTATGTAGTATAACTTTCTTGTATATGCATTGATTTATGCTATTTTAATTTAAATCAACAAAATATTTATCTATTTTATGACTTTGTATAAATACTCCTAAAAAATAGGGGGCGCTGCCCCTGAACCCCCTAAGCATGTTAACCCACCCTTTTAGCACGTGTCATCTATACTTTTTACCACAAAAAAATTAAAAAATCTAACACCCTTGACTACAAAACCTAGATTCCTATTGTCGGTGCCTATTAAGAAATCAAACAGTCTGTACAACCATGTCAAGTACTCTCGCATATGCAACTATTCTGGTGAGTGAAACTGGAATAACCTCTAGGAAGAAGAAAGAAAAAGAAATGAGAATACAACAGCAAAATTCCTGCCACGGAGTCTAAGTAGGATTCTACATCGTCATACCTGTTACCTATAGTTCCAACCCTTCCAGTTTCATAACTAACAAAAAACAAGAAATAAATAACTGCATGTGACAGACGGATCACCTTATTAACTTCTTGCTTAGCCTTTTGACAACGAATTTCATAATCCTTCACTAGTTTCTGACCTAGAGGTGAGCTAAGGAAATAGGAATCCTCCAACTCCCATGTAGCATGGTCATAACTAAGGCCACGCCATTTCACAAGCCATTCGTAATTGCATACTGAAATAACATCAGAAGAAGCTATATAGATTTTATCCTGAATATATCGTTTCAATAACAAACGATGTGGCACCATCCACTCCGGACTCCACTTCACAGCCTGCAGAATAAGAGAACAAAACATGAATACAAGTATACGTATCATATTTCTATTGACTAACTAATCTGCCAATCTAACTAGACTTTTAAGCAGGGAGTAACTTAACCTGATCCTTCTCGACAAAGTTGGAGACAAGAGAAGAATATTCAAGCAGCAGTTGTGTTTCTGGCACCCAATGGTTGTGAATGTGCGCAAGCCCATGGTATGTAACAAGATATTGCCTCTGTCGAACTCCTACTATCAGAATACAGTATTAAACGATAAATCAGAAGCAATAATATGAATGATATATGACTGTCAACATTTTGATTGACTATAACCACCATAATCTGATGGATTGATCTACATTTGTTTTAACTTGAATGTAGGGTATTTCAATAAACATGTCAGACCTTCAGCATTTGAAACCCCCACTTCTCGGAACATCCCAAATCGACTCGACTCCTTCTGACACGGAGTGAACACCAAACAAAATCTTCTTCTTTACACACTGGGAGCAGTGCCAAACACCTGGCACAGAATCGTTAAGAGGGGGGATCTAGACAAGATAGATGATAGCATCTCCTGCAACCTTTTCCCTCACAGCACTATAAATGCATGTAAAGACAAACCCTAAAAATCTCACGGTAAAGAAAAGAATAAGGAAGCAATAAGTTTTCATTTTGTATAGGACTTATTGGAAACCCAGAGCATCAATCACAAGATTATAAATTAAACAATGTCTGATCTATATTTCATAATCAATGACCATTTGGTAGAAAGAGCCCTAACAAAGGTTTACCCACAGGAGTTCGCCACCTTTGTAGCACAGCGCACAAACATTTTCATGACCATTCATTTGAGAATCTGCATGCCTCTCCTTCAATAAATGTCTGGAGTCACATTTTTCAGCAGATTCTGAGGTGACAGCAGCTCCCTGATCGCTTCTATCCTAAGGCGTAAAGCATTGCCAGAAAACAGCATGATCACAATCATATATTACAGCTCTCTATTAATCAATAAGCTTGTCTATTAAATGACAACTTTTACGTCAATGACATAAATTAAAATTATAATCATTATATAGAAAATTAATAATTAGCCATGACATGGAAAATGAGATTGCAGATGCTGATGAAAGAAGGCACAAAGTGAATCACAAAACATGTTTTCACTAGAGTGGTCAAGTTTGAGAAAGCAAAAGATAGTCATCCTTCCCTTTAATACAGTCAATAATTAATAATACAAAATTAGGTAGCTCAAAATGATTGATCTTATGCCACAATTTAAGACTATAAATTCTCTCAGTGGCAAAGAGGACCACGAAGAAACAGAGCATGCAAGATTATTTCAAGCAAAAAAGAGAATAAGAGGAAGGCATAATGAGACAGAAAGAGTGAGCAAGTCAAAAGAGTAAATCCAGATTTTCAATGTAGTTTATGGTGCTAAGGTATAAGCTAACATGTAGAAGCAATTTTGTTCAATTTGTTAGCTATCTTCATCTTCCGGAGACAACACAGCTCAGGAAAATCCATATGTTGATAGTCACTTAAACCCACTTAAATTTGGGTAAATAAGATATAAAAAATGGATAAACGGAATTTTATAGTGGTTAAATAAATATTTTCATTTTTTAAGTTGTTATTTGGTGAATTATGTGTGTTGAACTATTTTAATATGCTATTCAAATCATATTTAAAATTCCTAGATCTGTATTAGCTGCCAATTCATGCTCTAATTTCCAACGTCAATAGGTTTTAAGACCGGACGAAATTTCCTACACTTTATATAATGTTGTCCAAGATGATTTTAGAAGTTGTCACCTTAGACTCTGGCTACTATTTCAATGGTGAATCACTGGCTACTTACCTAACAGATTTAAAGCTATTAGATTTTGCCTAGATACTAGATTAAACTTCAATTTACTGCTTTCTATAAATTCAGTTCAGATATACCAGTACTCTTTCCTTTCTCCTTATTCTTTCTCCTATTATTGCTCTCCCTTCTTTATTTTCTTCTTCCGCCAACACCCAGATGCTGGAATCTAATTGGATCACATAAACATTATGTGTTGACCCAATGCTTGTGCAAATGCAAAAAAAATAACAAAGAGGTTCTCACTCAAAAGTTTTGAAGTGTCTTTGTAGTAAACACGAAGATCAGAAATTAGGACCTTAATTTTTATGTTATATTAACTATAACTACCAAAAGTGGCTAAAAGATGGCAAATATGCAAGGGTAATTAGTCAATCTCTGTCATCAATCAGGCTCTGCCTTCTCCAATAACTAACTCATTCTGAAGCAGACAAACCCAATATAGGTTTGATAGTACACTTGGAACATTTTTTCTGAACAGAAGAGCCGTCACTCATAACCCAGATGTGGTAGTAGATTACTCCGAAATCTTGTTACACAAAATAACAGAATATCTTAAGAGCCAGAGTGAGTTCTTAGTGATCACCCACTAGGAGGACAACAAGTACCTAACACAGTAGACTGGCAGAGTATGTAACACTAACACCAAACACGAACACCTAACACAGTAGACTGGCAGAGTAAGAAACGAAAACCTTTTCAGCTGAAACATCTAATTGTATTATATAATAGCTGGTGCCACATGAAGATCAAATGTATTGTCAGAGCACAAAGAAAAATGTTGTGGGCAGTTCAACTACATAATATTAGTGAAAAAATCCAAGCTTAGTCCACTAGTTACGCGGATTATGTTTTGATCAATGAAGGAAGGTTGATTTACACAAATCATATAGAACATAAATGTGATAGTTGAATGAAACATATAGAAATGCAGTCTATTTTCCTTCCAAGTACAAAAGTCCGGCCATTCTTTAATAGGTATGCAGACTCATGTATAGATTTAGGCAGAGAGAGTGACTTTTGACTTGTCAAGAACCACAACACTACAACAAAAACCAAATTAAAACATCAAAATACATATCCAAATTTTTTTGTCGATACAATATGCTGTACACATTAAAGACCAACCTTGCATTTGCATGAAGAGATGCTGTCTAGCTCCTTACACACTGCAGAATTGCAAGAACACAGCTCCTGTTCTGGTGAATCATATCCAACCCTGAACAAAATGTTACAAAACTTTAGAAATTATCTCAGCAAAACCAGGAAAACTTACATTTTTTCGGTTTCTTTTCTTTTCTTTTTTTTTCGGGGGGGTGGGGTGGGGGGGGGGGGGTGTTGGGGGAAGTGAAAGGAAAGAGCTTCAAGTATCACACATAAGTTGTGCAGCAAGAAAACCAGTCAGTCAGACCCCCACATACAAGATCATAGAACTAATAACCAAAAATCATTGCCTAGAAAGTAGAATGCAATTGCGGTGTAGAGGTTGAAGCATACCTTTTTATTTTAGAGCATAGAACACAAGTCCCCAGAAGATCGCAACTTTCACACTTAGATGATGGTGATGGTGATGGAGTAGTTTCTGCAACTGCCAGCAAAAAATATTTACCAACACTTAATATTGTAAGATCTAACTTTCTACCGATAGTGTAGAACATACCTTCTGTGCACATAAATTTCTCACCTGAACTTGCAGAACCATCTTGTGATCTTGCCAAGGAAGTTGAACTTTCCGACTCAGGAGCATCTATATTGTCAGTGGAAAGACAATTTTTTGACGATCTTTCAGTATTATTGAACGTTTCTCTGACACTCAAACTAGTGTGTGAGTCTTTTGAACAAGGATCGACCACAACATTGTCCCCAAGGCGGGAATCCACAATAACGTCATGTTCGATGTCTGTGTGACAGCCTTTCAAACTACAAATCGACTTTTGAGCATCTATAGTGTCAGTGGAAAGACAATTTTTTGACGATCTTTCAGTATTATCGAACGTTTCTCTGACACTCAAACTAGTCAGAGAGTCTTTTGAACAAGGATCGACCACAACATTGTCCCCAAGGCCGGAATCCACAATGACGTCGTTTTTTATGTCTGTGTGACAGCCTTTCAAACTACAAACTGATTTTTGAGCATCTATGTTATCGATGGGAAGACAATTTTTTGACGATCTTTCAGTATTATCGAACATTTCTCTGACACTCAAACTAGTCTGAGAGTCTTTTGAACAAGGATCAACCACAACATTGTCCCCAAGGACGGAATCCACAATGACGTCATTTTCGATGTCTGTGTGACAGCCTTTCGAACTACAAACTGACTTTTGAGCATCTATATTGTCGGTGGAAAGACAAATTTTTGATGATCTTTCAGTATTATCGAACGTTTCTCGGACACTCAAACTATTCTGAGAGTCTTTTGAACAAGGCTGGCCAACAACATTGTTCCCAAGGCCGGAATCCACAATGACGTCATTCTCGATGTCTGTGTGACAGCCTTTGGAACTACAGACTGACTTTCGAGTAGCTTCATTGTCAGTTTTATCAATACTTTCGTCTCTTAAATTCCCCACCACCCCTCTATTGCACTCATCACTAATATCCTCATCATTTCCTATTGGCTTATTAGAGTCAACGCCTTTGCTATTACCACTGCAAACATCAGATACTTTATCTCGTCCTTCCAGATCTCCATCACCATCTAATGAAAGACACGATAAAAATATTTCACTTTACGCATAAGTCAGCATATTAAGGAACTACGAATGTGTCACTGGGCGTGCAGTCGTGCACGTACAATCTCAAAGCCATACTTAGCAACCACACGCAATTTGCCAGAAAGTAAAAATGAAAAAAACAAAGTACAACCTCTTTGAAACGAGATGTCCTGTGATATGTTATAATGAGAACGAAGGAGAACAAACAGATAATGTGGACTAAATAATGAGTTATAAACGAAGATAAGCCTCCCAAGTGTTCCAGTTGAATTGAACTACAGTGATAATATAGAGATTAATTAACTTACCAAGCACGATATCCTTAATCCGCTGTTTTTTAAATATAGATCTGAAAGAGCGAGCATCCATCATCTTTCTCTTCTTGTTGCCAACAGCTTCCAGGTCAACTTCAGCTTTTTTGCTTTCCGTTGTCAACTCAATCAAGGTCTTCTCCTTCCTTCTCTTCGACCCTGACGAACTAAGCTCCTTTGCAGGCTGCTTTGAACCAGAAGCATTTGATGCTAAATTTTTCTTTCCCCTATCAGACCTCCTAACAGGGCTTGGCGTATTGTGTTTTTCTAGTCTTTCAGATTTCCTCTTCATGGGAGGTGTCAAAGCCGGCAAACCCTTATCAAGACGCTTGGACTTGCGCATAATTTGAGGACTCGTCGTCGTCTGTCTGGACGATGCCCTACTTTTAGGGTTTGGCGTTGTTGGCCTGGACGAAGATGCTTCCCTAGCTGATCTTGGATCCGATACATCAGTACTGCGAGTTGACGGATCTTTTCGAACGTTCACTTTCTTCTTTGTACTACTGTCATCTGCTTCTTCCTTACTTCTTCTAGCAGAACGAGTATCACTCACCATTCTTCTCAAGCTGCAGCAATATCCACAATTTCGTGGACTCTAAATTCTGACAAAAACAACAGAATAAAGTTGGAAACTTCAGGGTTACAAACTCTTCACTGCCAGTCGATAAGTAGCAATCATTCCTAAACCCTCACTAAAACTCTAATCCACGATCCGACTGATACACAACGACGCTAGTTAGATATAATTCGATTGTTCGAAACTGTAATACCGGGAAAAAGCTAAATCAAACTTGATTTCATATTTTATTTTCAGAATTAGGGGAAATACAAGCACATGCAACACCCTACAAACAAGCATTCCGTACCACCTATGTAACCGATAAAACATATGAACAGTTGAACACAGAACAAACACAAACCACGGCAACGGCAATGCATGAAAATCCAAACCACCGGTGATTATTACTGGGAAAATCGACAATTTGTAAAAAAAAATAGAAACAAAGTTACCTTCAGCTTCAAGTGCGAAATTAAACCCTAGATTCTGGTATCAGCACACGGGGAGAATTCCCGACATTGTCTACGGATTTTTAAAGAAAATAAAATTTCTTAACGAATCCCTAGATACGCCAACTCAAACCCCACGCCCAGCAATTTGTTTATTCTGAATGTGTTTCTTGTGAGCAAATTACGGGCCTCGTTCGTAATTAGTGTAGGAAGAAATAGTTTTACAATCTAAACTATGGAAAACGTCTCGAACTAATTTGCGTTTTCTGGGGCTGATTATAAGTCGCTTTTATAGTTTGTGTATTTTGTTGTTGTTCCAATTTTACCCTTCA